CAATTTGATTGTTGTGATTTTGTTAGTTGACGCCACTAGAGGCAAAAATAATTCGACTGTTTATTTAGGAACTCCCGGTATCAGCATAAACACAACTTAGACTTTGTGGGCCGTAATATTAACTGGATTATTTGCCAGCTGACGTCGTATGGTGTCGCTAGCAGAGCTTGTTATATATCAATGATAGATATAAAAATTGGTCGGGATCAGTTTGGCATTGGTTTCGAAAATTTCTGAAATTTACATCACAAACATGTAGGTACATAAAACATTTCTGAGATTTACATCACTAGCATGTACAATGTACATGTCCATTTAGTGCTTCTCCAGGGCTAGTACTGAGTAAGTTGCAGTCTGCTGTTGCAAATCACAGATGAATCATCCTAAAATTATGATTGTGCGTTGGATCTTGGGGATCTTGGATCCTACAATTTTGATATTGCATGGGATCTTGGGGATCTTGGATCCTGGAAGTCTGATCTTGCGCGGGATCTTGTGGATCTTGGACCCTGAAATCTTGAATTTGCGTGGGATCCTGGGGATCTTGGATCTTGCAAAATGATTTTGTGTGGGATCTTGGAGATCTTGGATCCTGAAATTCTAAAATTGTGTGGGATCTTGCGGATCTTGGATCTTGATTTTTGGTCGAGGCACAAGTCTGCTCACAACATCGAGAAATGCCTTAAATCGGAAATATTGAATTTCAAAATTGCAGCATTTGGATTCAGAGGGGCTAATGCTTTTGAATACCCCTCTGAATATGTGACGTCGGCGCAGATCTAACGATTTTTAAATGTTTGACTAAAACGTTTGGTAGCACGCGGTGGTAGATGCTGCTTTGCGCGCAACAAGTGCCGCACTTTCAGCTGCCAAACTATTGCTTCCAAATAAAGTCGCTAGGAACAGCGGAGATCCCAAAAAGTAAACAAAAATAAAAGTCTAATATCTTGAAAACCGGTGAATATTTTTCGGTGAAATTTGGTAGATATTAGTTTTAGCTCTTTCTGAACCGAGCGACATCACTTTCATGCCAATCCATTAACTTTTTTGAAGGTGGGAGGGTCCCTTTAAAGGTAGTGTGCCAGCTTTCCTGGACCGTATGGAGTTAATGGCCCAGATAAGGAAAACCGGATTTTTAGAACTTATCCATACCTTCAAAACTCATGGAAACGTCTTAAATTCTTCAAATTTTGAGTACCCAGTGCGAAATTCGCCCCGACGGGTTGTCGGTCGTACCCCAACCGCATTTCACACCACTATGAACAATGAATGCACACACTGAAATCGCTATTACCGATAGGCTCATCCAATAAAGTTTCGATAAACCCGTTCATCATCATCTCCTGCGGTTTCGAACACGCCTGTTAGGTGGTGCGGTAGACCGCGCCCAAAGCCAGGGCCCCGGTAACGTGAGGTAGCCGAGTCGGGGCAGCGTGCGCTGACCCAAGCCGGGGCCGCGCGTCCTCCCGGTGTCATGTGATAGCCCGGGGCTGCCCGGGGATGCGGTAGACCGCGCCCAAAGCCGCGGCCCCGGCTTGGGTCAGCGCACGCTGCCCCGACTCGGCTACCTCACGTTACCGGGGCCCTGGCTTTGGGCGCGGTCTACCGCAGGTGGCTTCTGCTCATACTTTGTGGTGCGGTGGTGGTGCGTCGGGCCGCGCGCTCTGACTTCGGCCAAGAAAAATGCGTCAGCTGATCATTGTCATTTCTGCCACTTTCATGTGGTGAGATGGGGTCATAACTTAAGAGACGGCTGTTCCATGTCAATTATTTTACATAAAATAATATTTCAAACCATAAATTAATGTTCGACAGCCAAATTAAAGAAACAATACCAATACAGCCTTACAGTTTAAATTCGACATTGTGTTGTCTACGATTAGACAGCTGATAACTCATTCCCGTACGTCGTAACTCTATAATGACCTTTGCTTATTGTCACATGTGCGCCGCATTCGCGATTGTTGCCGACGCCTGTTTGCAGGTCAGCCCACTACAGTTGTTATACATATCGAAAAACCGATAAACTTTTAGGCGAAAAAAGCACTATTTTAGGCCCATTTTTGATTTTTTTTTTGCGATATTAGGTAAAAACAGAAGCTTCTTATCCTAGGAAAAATAAAATGGGAAATCTTTGGAAGGTGGCACACTACCTTTAAGCCTTGCACGAGCTTTCTTTTACCGACATCGTGTTCTTCTCGTCAAGACGCATCGAATGAACTATAATTTGAACTTGAAAGGTCAACTTGAAAATGTGACCTCAGGTCAAGGTCATAATCTGACCGGAAATTGTCATGTTGCATATCAGTGGATCCGTATCGTCGAGCTGAACACATATAAGGCGTTTTCATCACTCTAGCATGCCTCTTTCAAAAGTTAGTCGCGAAAAACTGTTAGATACCATTCGTGACCTGAGATGACCTCAGGGGCAGGGCTGCGGAGTCGGAGTCGGAGTCGGAGTCGGAGTCGGTCGGAGTCGACAGTTGTGACCGGAGTCGGAGTCAGAGTCGGAGTCGATTTTAGAAACCCGAGCCGGAATCGGAGTCGGAGTCACCGAAAATCTGTCGACTCCGCAGCCCTGCTAGGTCTGCGGAGTCGGAGTCGGGAGTTGGAGTCGGTCGGAGTCGACAATTCTGCCCGGAGTCGGAGTCGGAGTCGGAGCTGGTTTTTGAAAGCCGGAGTCGGAGTCGGAGTCGGAGTCGCCGAAAATCCATCGACTCCGCAGCCCTGCTCAGGGGTATAAACAGGGGGTCACGGGTGCGATTTTCATGTTCAGTGTTAAAGTTACTTGTAATTCAATGTTTAAGAGTGCTTGGAATGACTTTCGTCCAAAAGAGGCGGTTTTGAATTTTCTCCGCGCTTGTAATACCTAGAGGTCGCAAAATTGACCTGACCTTAGGTCACCGATATGAAAATTCCGAGAAATACATTTGTACACAGGGGCGCGGGAACTAGTTTCAGACGGGGGGGGGGGGGGGGCGCACCATAATAGAGATAAACCCAGGGTACTCCCGAATCTAGTTTTCTCACCGGTTTTAGGCCACTTATGTTTCATCCCTTGGCTTTTTCAACAAAAAAATAAAACATTTGCAAAAAAGTGCGGTATTCCGTCTTAAAGTTGCGGGGGCACCGCCCCCACGGCCCCAGAGTTGGGGGGGGGGGTAAGCTGCCCCCACTGCCCCCCCCCCCCGGTTCCCGCGCCTATGTTTGTATATACATACTGTTGCCCTTATCAATCGCTGAAAGTTTCAAAGCGATCGGTCACTCGGTGTAGCTATGACATACATTGAAACATTTTAGGAGGTGAGGTCACTTGAAGTGACCTGGTGACCTGACCTTGAATGACCTTGGTCTGAAATTTTTACATGTGTAGAATTGGTGGATGATAAGGTGTGCCGAAAACGGCGGCGCTCCGCGCCGTTTTTGAGATATCCGCGAAAAACCGCAGGGGAAGGGGGTGTTCAAACACTTTGACCATTTGCCCCAGTAGTCAAAATTCCTTAGCCGAGGCCCTGCCTCGCCGGGCTCAACATTATAAAAAAGATTAAAAATTAGCTTCGAATCTTAACATTAATTCAAATTCACGCAACATTTTTGTACGTAGTTTACACCACTGATATCAAGAACTTGATAAAATATTTGGCGTTAATTACGTCGTTTTATGAAACCCAAATGGCATCAATTGGTCCGGAATCCAGCATTTGCCGTAAATGATGCTCCGTAATTTCGATGGCGTGAATTACTCCGGTCTCCGGCTTTATGAAACCAAATTGGCATCAAATACGCCAAATCTGGCATAATTGACGGAACGCCGTAAGTAATTCCTTTTATGAAACGAGGCCCAGGTCACGAAGTTGGTCGAAAGAGGTCATTTCGCATATCATTCGATTTGGCAGGTCTTCCTGAGTCCATTGGTGGCTTTCCCGACTCGCTAGCTCAATTTGATCGGGAGTTATTGACAAAAAACTACTATGACCTTGATGACGTCACGCAAGGTCAACATTGCAAAAGTGACGCAGCTAACCTTGCAAGGAGTGAATCAAATCACGATTCTGTGTGCTTGAGATAGTTGGAGATCGTTCCCGGCGCCAAAATAGCAGTTTTCATTTTTCCCCATTGACTTACCTATGTGAGGTCACGAAAATGACCTGACCTCATATGACCTTTAGGAAAAATCCGAGATATACAAGTTGTGAGACTCATAATGGATACTAGATCCTGCAAGTTTCATTTCCCTGTGACATCTCCTCTGGCAGTGAGGGCGTTGCGAAGTTGCGACATCGAAGACCGTGCAGAGGTTCACTTATGACGTCATAGGTCAGTGACCTGACCTGACCCAAAAATGCGGTTGGTGTCAAAAGATCCGGCTTGAATCAAAGGTCAGGTATGCCAAGTTTCAGCTCTCTATCGCCAGCGTGTTCGGAGCTATCGCGAAAAAAACCTATGGGGGGGGGGGGCGGCACCCGCCCCCCCTCGGCCGGCGAGGGTTGATATGTAGGCATACTTTTCAAAATTTTCAAATGTTTTGAAAATCGGAGATAGTAGTTTGATAGCGCAATCTATTCTGAGTCCTCTCATGCAAAGAAATTGGATCTAGCTTAAAAACTGAGCTCTTGAGAGCGATTGACGTGGGTCAATGTTTTGCGTCGAAATCGGCCGAACATGACGTCACTCTGACGTCATTTCCGGCCGACCTATGGTAGCTACGAAGTTCGTATTTTGACACAAGGTATCAAATTGATGCAGCCGAAGGTACTGAAAGTTTGGCGCCGAGATACGTCAAGCGGTTTAGAAGTTGTAGAAAAACGGGAGGAGGGAGGGGGGGCTATGAATACCCTCCCCCGTGAGGCGCGGATTAACAGTCCTTTTACGTTTGCATTGATTCTACCTGCCTACTTTCCTTTTAGCTTGTGTCAGGATTTTAAGGCAAGTGTATGAAGATTTAAAAAAAAAATACCCGGCCACCCAGAGTGCCCCCTCCCCCGTGCCCAGCGGCCCACCTTTTCGGCGCCCTGTCCCATGGTGGGCTCGTCCGCCTTGTGGGCGTCCAGTCGCGCCTGCAGCAGGCGCGCCAGCTGCTCGTTGTGCGCACAGTGGTCTCGGTAGCGGACGGCCGGGTACTCGCCGAGCGTGGCGCACAGTGTGGCCAGCTGCTCGGCCAGACGCTCCAGCTGGGCGCCGCCGCCGCCCGACAGCACGGCCGGCAGGGTGCGCGGCGCGTCCAGCGAGTACAGCAGCGCCTCCAGCGGCACGAACGCCATGTTCACCTCCTTCAGGGTTCGCACGTGGCGCGACACGCCGGCGCCGGCCAGCAGCTCGAACAGGCCGTCCGGACACGGCTCCGAGAAGAGGATGTGCGCGGCGCGGTACATGGGCCGGCCGCCGGTGCTCCAGTCAGCCAGCAGGGCGCGTACCGAACGCTCAGTCGGCTGCACCAGGTAGACGGCCTCCAGGTGCGGCAGCGGCTCGCGGCGCTTCCGCAGGTCTTCCACGATGGTGACGCCCTCCTGGGCCAGGTCGTGCATCTTGCAGCACGCAGACACCATGCGCATGCACAGCTCGTCCACGATCAGCACACGCCAGTCGGGCGCGCCGCTCGGCCTTCTGGCTGCCCTCACCAGCTCCAGGATCTTCTGACCGACCACAGTTTTCAGCGCCATCGTAGTGGGCACTGCGGCGCCACGCGGCCGGCAGCGACTCGATTCCAGCCGGCTCTACCGCGTGGGCTCCGTGCACCTATCATTCACGTGTCAGAGCAACGAAGTGAACTTCTCTGAAAGACGTACAGACAATGCTGTTAACCCATGCATAACTTTGGTGGGGTGGAGGGTGGACGGCTCTACAGGGCCCTCTCGTTTTTCTCACATATTTTCTAAGCCACTAGACATATCATAACAAAACTTATAATGCCACCTTTAGCTTATCAGCTCGATACACTGTGCCCCCCCCCCCATACAAAAAGTCATAACTACCAGAGGTCAGCCGTAATGATATCAGTGATGTAGCCTTACGTCGATTTTGGATGCAAAACATGATTATACGACAAACGTTGCCAGGGGCACAATTCTTAAACCATCGCACTTGCAGGGGGGAGGGGAGATCGGATGGACTCCCCCCAGTTTTCACGAATAAATCGCGCAAAAAGCAGCCAATTGCGATGAAACTTTCGGTCCCCTGAGTTAATCGAATTCACACCTACTCTGAAAATTTCATGACCCTCACCCAAATGACCTTTGACCTATTTCTCGAGACCATGTTTGGCCGGATCGTGATTCGGCGTCTGTCAGCTTACATTGTGGGTCTATGGGTAAAGATAAGCGTGTTCGGAGGAAAGGAGTTTACCCACAATGAAAGAACAAAATAAACAGCAAAGACGGGAGTTCACATGGGAAAAAGTGGGTGAAAAACGTGAGAACTAAAGTGAGGAGCTCGTCGCGATACTTAGCCTGTCTGAACACTGCGTACGAAACCTAACCCGCGCCCCGTTGAGGCCTGGCAGGTTCCACGTCCTGTTGGGGGGGGGGGGGGCAAAGGGCCCCCCGTCGTATCTCCGGAACCAATAGCCGGATCGGAAAAAAATCAAACGGCATTCGAAAGAACTCATCGAGATGCACAAGATAGGATATCGATGACCTTGATATTTGACCTGTGACGTCACAGGGAGGTCAAACAAGGTCAAATCAGTCCAATTTGCAATGACGAGAAGTCAGTCATAACAATGAAATCTAAGCTTTCCAAATGAGTCTGGATATGATGTATATGACAGATCTGGCATGGGGATAGTCACCTGAGTAGATGGTGACCTGTGACATCGCAACAGAGGTCAGCCTCGCCCTCGACCAATCAGAAAACACTTTCGTGAATCGTAAGGTAAGGCATGTTAAATTGTGAATATTCGAGTCTTTATGAAGACATGTCATATATATGCAACCACAGAAACCTCCTTGACCATTTTTCTTAGACCTATGGCGTCACAGGAAGGTTAAATAAGGTCAAATGGTACCGGTTTACAACGAAAAACAATTTTTTACGTAAACGTGACTTAACTCACGTAAAGGATCATACTCAGTCAGCAAGAGGTTGATAAGAATCATAAATATGACTTCTGACTGATTTCAAGCACAAATACCGAAAATATTGTGACGTCATAAGAACAGTCGCTACTTTTTCAGTCATTCAAATGCCTACCTATATCTCAGACAGTTTCAGAGATATTTTGTTAATTTTTGGCATGTGTAAGGCCAGTAAGGGGTTCTTTAACATATATTCCGGTTTTTGAAAATTTCCCCAAATTTCAAAAATTTCTCAAGAAATCTAAATTTTGAGTTAGAAAATCCCTAGATTTAAGGATCTTTATATTTTGGAAATTTCGCGATAGCCGTTTTGTTCGCCATGCTTTTTTATACCTAGATCGTAAAACCTAAGCTACACTAGCATGAATTCCAACGTTTTTCGGTTTCAGCGGGATTTCGGTTCGCGTCGTACAGTTCGCCTCATAGCGAATGCATTGCGCAAGCTACACTGCCAGTCTGGCGTCCTGTGAAACGAAAACCCGTAAAAACCGACGAGTCGGAACCGAAAAAAGTCAAAGCTGTGAATTTTTTTCGGTTTCTACGTGATTTCGTTTTAGTGATGAATGATTGTGTAACGAGGTTACATTTTTTCAATATTCCCGACATCAACGTTGCGTTTGCAACTTTAACACGGTTTCAGCGCCGAGAGACACGCCGGCCCGGCAGAACACCTTCACCAGCCGGGGACGGTGGGCAGCGGCAGCGCGTGCCCGGACGGCGGCTGGGTCGGTGACGAAAACAGACACATTAGCCAGGACGGTGGAGGATCGACCGCGAGAAAAGCAGCAGTTTCATGGCTCCAGCATTCCATTCTGCCGTTCCCACACTGAAGCTGAAAGACAGGTGGAGAGAAGGACCGCCACGGCCAGGATAATGAGCGGCTAAACGACGCGACCGACTCTGCGAACGTGCTCTGGACCAGATACGAACAAAAGCCAAATCCCATAACCCGATCCAGTCTACATCTGGAGCAGCTGACCGAGCTAAATTACTCAAAAACAGAGGAGCAGGGACCGATCGGCATTCAAATAAAACAAGCCCAGATTTTGGCCACCAGCCACCTGCATCCCTGAGGCTATGAAGACGCCAGCGGCAGGTCCAGTCGGGTCGACGACACGGTGAAAGTGAAAGGGCCAATCGTCACAGCCGAAGGGGGCGCAAAAATCCATCGACTAACACCACTTTGAACTGAAGGCGGAGCCAAGCAGAACGCTGTCGATGTGGAGCAAGAGGATTGGCGGAGAGGAGCATCGCAACTTTCACTGAAAAAATGACGTCATCACAAAGCAAAACTCAACGGGACCGACTCAGAAGAGACACTGGGAACTGACAGAGAGATTCGGATCGTGACGGAGACTCGGAGAGAGACGGGTTGGAGACTTGTAGAGTGGATAGGGAGCTCGGCTACTGAGACTTCAGCGTCAGCTCAACAGCGTCTCGGCTGCTGGACAACGCGGCCCGGCGGCGGCCTGGCCGCCGGGCCGGTCACTGAAGATGGACTGGGACGTCGACAGAGGCTCAAGTAAGGTCAGGGTGGAAACAGGCGCGCACTGATCCATCAATCCTTCCAACCCCCCCCCTTTTCTTTTGCTAAATGAGCCACATATTCGTGTAAACCAACATCATATTCATATGCCATTTGTTCTTCAGTAATTTCGGATCATTCAGTAGGTTACTTTATCGTAGGCGCAGTAGGTGCCCATAACTCGCCATGGGCTAGACGAACGCGGTCCGCGGCGCGTGCCACTCTGACCCTGTTTGCGCGCGCGGCGCCCTTGGGGTCATTAAGGGGATTAGGTCGAGGAAGGGGTAGGTGTTAGCGGTTAGGTTATTACCGGTCCGCGTGCTGCCACGGGCTCATACGGTCAATTCTGATGATTAGACGTTGTTCATCGAAACTCAATGGTTTAGAAATCAAGGTCGATTCGCCAATTTACAATTGAATAATGTCAATGTACCGGGGCCATTTAAATCGTTCGGAAATTCCGCTTACCTATGCACTTTGACGAGAAACGGGAAATAAACTCGACATGTAAATACCGTAATACGACTGTGAGAAATGGAGAAGGATTACACTGAGCGAGAGAAGAAAGGCATTACAGGGATGTTGAACGCCGAATTTGAGTAAGATCGTTGGGACATCAGTTCATCGCTGTAGCATGCATTTCTCGTACGCAGGGGTAAATTACACATGTGAGGCACAATGCAGACACTGGCTTAATCATTACAAAAAGGAAACTGCATATTTGATTAATCTTTCAGCATTGCTTAATGGTTATCGTTTTAAGTCCAATTAGTGTTTCAGTCGATTGTTTGTTTTTTTCATATTTAGTCTCCATGTAGCGACATCACGCCGCATAACGATTTATTCGAAACCACGGGCTATGACGTAATAATCTAGTGAGAACCAGAGACATATGTAAGAGCTTGAGCAGGATTTTACTATCCGACATGATGCATGCTAGAGGAGGCCATGATAACACGTGTCGCGTCCTTGCACGCGCAACGCCGGTCGATGTGGTTTTACGCACCATCCGATCTGGGTACAAGTGACGATGAATGGGACATGGGTAATGCTATATACATTTACTTGAGATTCTCATACGGTAGGATTTAACAATGACAGTGACAAGTAACGGCAGCTCATAGGGCAGTTTGATGTTGATGATCATTTAACCAAGTCAAGAAGAGAGATTACAGTCGCTATATTCATTGTGGCAGGAGACGGTAAAAAGAACACGTATTGGCAGGCAATATTTTGGTTACTTGGTAGACCTGCATCAGCCAGGTACTGAGGAAGTTTTTATTTTACATGTTTCAGCCCGAGGGATAGGAAACGCCAAACATAAGTAGGAGCACGCAGTAAAGCGCGAACATACGCTGGTGACCGTTAGACGGCACTGTAAGGCGCGATATACGCTGGTGATCGAAAGACACTGTAAGACGCGATCATACGCTGGTATAATCGGGGAGATATACCGTAAGACGCGAGCATAGGTCCCTCACTGGTAGCTTAGGCCTCGAGAGGTTCGGGAATAACTCCAGTAGAGTTCGGGTAAAATTTAAGTATAGGAAGGTCCTGTGTCAAGCTCGGACGTATCCATCACTGGCAGGGTGGATGCCATCGGCAGAGCGGCAGAGAACGTTACATGCAATACAATGGTAACCCAGTGACCGCAGTTAGTCGATGAACGGATCCACATCGCGGTGAGTCGGGTAATTTGGGGGACATTGTGCATTTGTTTATTTAGGTAGGCTGCGACGGCAGTTTAATACGAGGTGCCTCGGAGGTTTACGCCGTAAGACGCTAGTCCCGGTTCCAGGACGGTATGCGCCGTAAGTCGCGAATACGCAATAAAGCGGTGCCAGCCGTAATAAGGCGCGAACATACGCTGTAAGTCGTCACAACGTCATCGCAGGGCAAGGACGCGGTAAGTCGCGAAACATACGCAGGTGATCGGGGACAGACACCGTAAGTCGCGAATTATACGCTGGTAATCAGGAGATGATACTGTAAGACGCGAAGAACCGCCGTAAGTCGTCGTAAGATGCAGTAAGACCCGAACAACCGCCGTAAGTCGTCGTAAGATGCAGTAAGACGCGAATAACCGCCGTAAGTCGTCGTAAGATGCCGTAAGACGCGATTTTATACGTGGTAAGTCGTGACTCGGATATGGCGATTGATTCTGTATAGGAAAAG